CTGCGGGGGGAAATGCGCAAAAAACGCATCCTCGTACCGGCAGCCGGTACGCTTTCTACTAGGTTTGGCAGGGCGTCGAGGAAATAAACAAAAAGTCAATTAGATTCTTGCCCTTTATCCATTCACACTGAAATGCGGGTACCACTGGCACATATAAACTTTTCCGGTAATTCCAGACATCCCTTCTTCTAATACTATATCAGCTAGCGAAGTAGCAACGTAAAGTTTACGCTGGAAAAAATACCTTCGTGTCCTTTTTGAACGCATAGCTCACGGTAATTGCTCGATTACACAAAAACTGTCCATTCATTGCCTCAATCGCTGAATCTGACGCTTCGAATGACGCAAAATTGACAAAAGCGAAACCTTTACTATTACCAGTCTCAGAATCTCGCATTATTTTTGGAACCTGTAAAAATAACAACAGTTGTAAGCACTCAAAGAAGGAAAAAAAGATATAAGAACTTCAGTCTCAGTGCTTTCCAAATTTTTTTTTCTTTATCTCATGCCATTATTAAATGAAAAAAAGCCTCAAACATTGAAATCGCCTGGCCGATCATTGCGAGAAACCAGCGTCACTGGTGCTACATCCAGAAAGCTTTGTCGGGAACACAAGATGCACAGTTCTTGACAATAACATTATTAAAAACCTGGCAGACCTGTAGCACGGATAAACAGCTTCACACTCGCAGGCTAAGGCTCACAGCTCGAATTCGCCACTGAGAAAGTCCTCACCCTTTCCGATTCTTTGCGATAAGGAGAGGAGGGAAAGGGAGGAGGAGGAGAGGGGATTGAGGTCACTCCCGACTTAATCTGTAATGATTAAATGACAACAGCAACAAAAGCAATGAAGAATGCACCTGCAAAATGACTCCAAATGCACTGAATGTGTCGAAAAGTAGTTTCTCGTCCACTTCGGGGTCCAAATTTCCAACAAATACATTAGCTCCAACATCCATGTTCTTCTCATGCGCAGACGCTTTATTCACCTAAAAAGCACTTACATACTGTATACTATTAATGATCAACTCAAGTCAGTTTTTCTGGCCGAGATTTCCACCAACGAACTGCTCAGAATTTGAAGACAAATGCCAATCAAACGTGAAAAAGCTTTAAGAAAGACTCAAAATATCGAGAAGACCCAGATCGCCCAGTCATCAGCGTAGTGGTTAATGGGATGACTCGAAAAAACTCCACTGAAATGGTGGACGCGCATTCAGCTTATTTAACTCATAATAATTAACTACGAAAGAAAAAACGCATAGTCCGGGGATACTGACGTACTCTTCAAAGCTAATGAGCACGCTCAGTTACTAAATCCCTTGTTAAAAGAGAATATTAGCCTGGTGACAATTAAAAAAAAAAAAAAAAACACCAAACGACGTTACCGAAAAGCGAATGCGCATAGCTACGCCAGCTTTACTA